ATTAACCAATTTCTTACCAAAATGTAAGTTCACTAAAAAGGAATCTATTGTTGAGAAATAAGATCCTATATGAAAAGTAAAAAGATGGTACCTTCAGACTTGCATTACCATCATACTATGTCCAAATTTGTGGCTAATAACATTACTAATTTTAAATGTTTTTCTGTATTGAACTTTTTGTTTTAAGCATAAATGAAAACTCTAATCATTTAAAATTTTATTCTTACATTTTGAGACATAAAAGCATCTCTTATCAATATGTTATTAGGTAGTTTATATCTCTTTTAAATTTTGTGAGCATCTAATTAACTAATTCACAAAACTCTATTTATCTTAAAAATTTTTTTTAGTTGCTTTTTATTTTTTTCGTAATTAAATAAATAAATAAATTTTTTTTAAAAAAAAATCTATATACAGTCGACCCCTTTATTTCGCTGACGTAGTTCTGAACCACGTGACATTCGTGACAAGGTAATATCAATTCTATCCAACAATTTGTTACGAATAAGTTGGAAATATTTTTGCTGAATACGTCGGTATCACGTTGTTGATGTGAAAAAAAATGGGTCAACATTGTGCTCACTTGTTGGGGAATCTTTAGATGAATATCATTGGTGCAACTATTCCGATCGGCAAGCTCAAAAAAGAAACTTTTGGATCTGCGGATTTCGTATATCTTCTTGTAACCAGCCCGATTAGGTTTGGTCACATGAAGTTTGTTAAACGAGATAAGGAAGGTTTTTCTAACATTTTGTAAAGGTTTTTTGTAGTAAAAAGAAGAAAAAGCTGAGCTGTTTGGCACAAATTTCAGAGGAGCGTTAATAAAGTTCGTCCTCATTTCTCTCAAAGGTCTAAAAATTAATAGTTAAAGAGGAAGCCTTTCCGTAGAGGCCACCAAGTGGTCCTCTTTCCTCTAGTAAAGAAGTATTTCTTGGGAAAATTTGTGTTTACTGCGGTTTCTAACAAAAAAAACGGAAAGGGGAGAGAGTTTTTTTCTATTCCAAAAAAGGGGATGTCTAAAGCGGATTAGTGTCACGTGATCATAGTAAAAATATTTTCACATTTGTCAAATTTGTAATTTCGTAATGCCGTAATACTGCTCTAAACTATTCCGCTTTAGACGACACCAAAATAGGTATTTTTTACGCTGATCAGTTACAATATTTATTAATTTTGTTATAAGGTCACGTGATATGTTTTCGAATCACCCGTGTATATTTAAGAAATTTTCTATAAGGTATTAATAAATACTCAAATAAATGTAATTTTAGTGTAATCAAAAAACTTAGTGACCCAAAATATGAATTAGATAATAGTCATTTGGAAAATTTAAAAAATTTAAGATTACTTAATTATATAAACTTCAATAATTCCATAAAAAAAAAAGAATTTTTGATACAATTATGTAATGTAACAAATATTTTTTCATATAAAATCATATTATTTTAGCATTTTGAAATATCATATAATAAAATACCAACACTATAAACTTGATTTTTAAATAAATGTCGATCGACACCGATTCATGATTGATGTTAACTTATACAGGAATATCAGCAAAATATGACGAAATTATGATGTAATCGCAAAATTACACTTATAACTTATGTGGCAAGTTCTTTGTAAATTTTTTTTTTAAATTTCGTTTTCTACTAACTTGAATTCATTATAATTTAAACAAGCCTTGACTGTCAAATAATTCATTACGTACTATTGATACCAATAAAGAATTAAATATGGAATGCAACAAATGTAAATGTGTGTGTAACGCAAAATATTTTCAACAAAATTTTAAAAATTGGACTAGTGGTAATAATGATATTGATAAATTTATTCAAGATACTCAGCTATCAATACATTCTGACTATGAAGTATCAAAAGCATTAGAATGGATACCTTATGATAGATTTTATATTATAAAAGACAAGTTCAGTAGAACGAATTGGAATGAAGGACCTATCGATAAATGGGATGATAAAAATTTGAGTTGGAGAAGAAAAGATCAAAATATGTTCGTGATTCTAAAAAGGTTAAATAGCCCAAATAATATTGCACTAGAATTAAAAGAGGTGAAATAAACTTACTAAATTTGTAATAATTAGATTTTATTAATGTATTTATTTTGTTAATTATATTTGTAGATTACAGTACTCCATAAAGTTTATGGAATAACTCAAGATCCAGAAACAAAGAATTATATGGTTGTTTGTAATGAAAAATGTAGTAAATGCAACAGTATATGTTTTGCAATACATTTTCAACGAAATTTTGAAAATTGGACTAGTGGTAATAATAATATTGACAAATTTATTCAAAATACTCAGTTATCAGATCATACTGTTTATATCGTAAAGAAGGCACTAGAATGGATACCTTATGATAGATTTTATGATATTAAATATTTTATGGAAGATGAGCTTGGCAAAGTGTATCTAGCCAATTGGACTGATGGATATATATCATATTGGGATAATAGCAATTGTAAAAGATATAATAATAACATGTTTGTAATTCTGAAAAGTTTAAATAATCCAGATGCTATTACATCAGAATTTGTGGATAAGGTAATGTAACTTATTATCAATGAAACTATAAAAAAAATTTAATTTTTAACATTTATATATATTGTAGATTACGATGCATCATAAATTTTATGGAATAACTCTAGATCTGGAAACAAAAAATTACATGGTAGTTTTAGCATGTAAAAAATGTAGTCATGTATGTAACACCATACATTTTCGGCATAATTTTGAAAATTGGACTAGTGGTAATAATCATATTGATAAATTTATACAAGATACTCAGCTATCAAATTGTTATGATTACAAGGCATTAGAATGGATACCATATGATAGACTTAATGATATTAAATATATTGCAAGTAGCAATTTTGGAAATATGTATGGAGCAAATTGGATTGATGGATATATATTGCATTGGGATTTTAATAATTGGGAAAGAAAAGGACAAAATATGTTTGTGGTTCTGAAAAATTTAGATAATCTAAATGATATTACACCAGAATTTACTATAAATGAGGTATATTAAGTTTATTTAATTGATAAAAAATTTAAAATATCAGTTTCATTAATGCATTTTATTTATAGATTGCAATTAATCATAAGGTTTATGGAATAACTCAAGATCCAGAAGCAAAAATTTATATGGTAGTTTGTAATGAAATATGTGAAAAATGCAACAGTTCATGCCTTGCAACACATTTTCATCATAATTTTGAAAGTTGGACTAGTGGTAATAATAATATTGATAAATTTATTCAAGATACTCAGCTATCAATACATTCTGACTATAAAGTATCAAAAGCATTAGAATGGATACCTTATGATAGATTTTGTGGTATTAAATATTTTACAGATGATGAGTTTGGCAAAGTATATCTAGCTAATTGGATTGATGGATATATAAGTTATTGGGATAGTGAAGATCACAAAATAGGAAGAAAAGGTGAAAACATGTTTATAATTCTGAAAATGTTAAATAATCCAAATAATATTGCATCAGAATTTGCGAATAAGGTATGTTAATTTGTTATATAATAATATTTTTGAAAAATATATTTTAACAATTTATCATTGTAAGGTAATGATATACCAAACATTCTATGGAATAACTCAAGATCCAGAAACCAAGAATTATATGTTTGTTTGTAATGAAATATGTGAAAAATGTAATTGTATATGTTTTGCAATGCATTTTCAACGAAATTTTGAAAATTGGACTAGTGGTAATGATAATATTAATATTCATATACAACACACTCAGCTATCTGCACATTCTGACCAATTATCAAAGGTATTAGAATGGATACATTATGATAAGCTTTGTAATGTTGAATATCTTGCAGAGGATGAGAATAGCAAAATATATCAAGCCAATTGGATCGATGGATATATAGTAAGTTGGGATGATAATTGGAAAAGGGGAGGTCAAAATATGTTTGTAAGCCTGAAAACTTTAGACAATCCAAATGATATCACATCAGAATTTAAGAATAAGGTAAGGTAAATTATTATTACCATATTATTGGAAAATATCAATATTTAGTGAATTATTGCATTTGTAGATTACGATACATGATAGAGTTTATGGGATAACCCAAGATCCAGAAACCAAGAATTATATGTTAGTTTTAAGTAGTATATGTAAAAAATGCAACTGTACATGCCTTGCAATGCATTTTCATCAAAACTTTGTAAATTGGACTAGTAGTAATGATGATATTGATAAATTTATTCAAAATATTCAGTTATCAATACATTCTGACTATGAAGTATCAAAAGCATTAGAATGGATACCTTATAATAGATTTTATAATATTAAATATATTGCAAAAGGAGGTTTTGGCAAAATTTATAGAGCAAATTGGTATGATGGATATATGCAGCATTGGGATTATGAAAAATGTAAATGGAGTAGACAAGATCAAAATAAATTTGTAGCTTTGAAAAGTTTAGATAATTCAAAAAATGTTACATTAGAATTTATGAACGAGGTATGATTAATTTATATTTAAAAAAATTTTACAAATTCAATGCATTTCATTTATATTTATTTAATTATAGATCACTTGGCATTATAAAGTGAATGATCTTCTACATGCTGTTATTAAATTTTATGGAATAACTCAAGATCCGATAACAAAAAATTATATGATGGTATTGAATTATGTAGAAAATGGAAGTTTACGAGATTTTTTAAACACAAGTCATGATAAATTAAATTGGTATGATAGGCTTAATTGTTTATGGATTATCGCATACGCACTTAATCTTCTTCATAAAAATAATTTAATTCACCGAGACTTGCATGTTGGCAACATTCTTTATGATAACAATACACGTATTTATATAACCGATATGGGATTATGTAAATCTGCAGATTACAATGCATCAGAGAATTCAAAAGAGAGTGCATATGGTATTTTACCTTATATGGCTCCTGAAATATTACGAGGACAAAATTGTACCAAAGCTGCTGATATTTACAGTTTTGGTATAATTATGTATGAAGTAATTTCTGGATTACCTCCATATCATGACATGAACCACAATAATTTAGCAATAAGGATTTGTAAAGGACTTAGGCCAAGGTTTAACATTAAAGTTCCTCAATTGATTGTGCATTTAATTAAAAGATGTTTGGATGCAAATCCATTAAATCGACCAACAGCAAATGAAATCTATAAAATTATACGTGAATGGCATGATAAACGAAGTGATTATCAAATTACAGAATTACAAAAACAAATTGAAGAATCAGAAGGAACAAATAAAAATTTATCAATTAAGTCAACCAGTTTAGGATTATCATGTAATACACGTTCAGAAGCTATCTATACAAGTGGATTGCTTAATTGTAATAGTAATCTTCCCGAACCAAAAAATTCAGATGACTATTACGAACAAAATGATGATATAGTTAGCATGGAATTTACAGGTATTGTTTAATAGAAAATATAGAAAATAAGTAATTATTTAAGTTAATTTTGAAAAGAATGTATTAATAAAATTTAACTCTATGAATAGAATCCTTACAAATTGATATTTCTCAATTGAAAAATAGTGATAGTATAACAAGCGATGATTATTCAGAATACTCAGGTATAATTAATTTGTCACTTATAAAAGACATTCAAAACATATAAAAAATTACTAACAAATTTATTCTATTACATAGGATCTATACAAATTAATATTGAAGACCATGACTCAAAATCTTAATCTAGTAGCATTTTCCTGAACTATCTTATTATCCGATAGATAATTAATGAACCTTTAGAAGTAAAAATAACTATTATTAAGTTATTTCAATTCGACATTTAGTTCAAATTATTTAATTTTGTATTCTTGATTTAAATATTTTTTCTGTTATTTATTCTGTTTAGCATTAACTTTTCTCAAAATCAAAGCGTAAAGATTTTCAAATTCTAAGAAAAAGTGGCAGTCTATTTGTGAATATAATTTAAATATAATATACTTGTTTTATTATTTTATTTACTGGTTTATTTTGTTTACTAAATAAAAACAAATTCTTAAACTAAATAAATAAAATAATGAACGTGAGATTAATAATTTTGATCCGATTTTAACTTCGAACCAACTAAGAATTAATGTAAAATGAAGTAGTTGTGAAGCCACGATTCTTGCCTAAAAATATTGTTTTTATTTTTGTTATATTAATGAACAACTTTCATATGCAATACTTTTTGATTTAATGTAATCTAAAATCTTACATTATTAATATATCTTAAAATTCTCAATCTTAATTACTTTCCTTTTGCGAAATCTATAGTTATATTACTCGCTCCCTAATAAAAATTTCTTTAGATTCTAAAGTATAAAAGAAATAAATGATTTTTTGTCATTTGTTATTTCATATGGTAATCTTTTTTTTTTTTAAAAAAAAATTCTCAAAGTAGAATCTACTTATGAAATAACAGTGAATTTTTCATTTGTTAAAATTTCATCTTGAAGTTTGGTCATAAAATAATTTTTATTTAATTATTTTACTGGTTTTAAATTCAGCTAAATTGTTTATAGGAAAAAAAAACAAAATTATTTGTAAAAAATACTAAAAATAACATGAAATAAGACTTGCCCTGTAAAAATGTTGATCTGTGTTTTATATTATTTATAGGACCCCGAAATGTATATACAGATGTAAGGTGGCGGGCAAAAAAATTTTTTCAGGGCCGGAATACTGCCAGAATTATGACAATTTCGGTCAGCATCCAAAAAAGATAATACCTTTCCACCAGGAATTATCTTATAAGGAAGGATTTTCATGATTTTTTTTTGCTGATTAATCTTTTTATGTATATTTCAGGGTCCTGAATTTATAGTCTTAAATTATGGAAATTTTCATCTCTCTAACACGAATATCCATGAATATATTATTTTCACGGAATTTTTACGAAAGCTACGGAGAAATAATGGAAATATTCAGAAAAAATTTTATAGGGTTGAAGGAAAAATGTTTCCAAATTTTTCAAATTGATAATGAATTTGTAAAGGGTAAAATTTAAAGAAAATTTGGAATGACATCATTAAGTTACTTTTTCTTCGATCTACTTTAAAAAATTCCTTTTTCAATAAAACTTTCTTCCTGTAAAAAAAAATAATAATATGTAATTGATATACACAAAATAGTATTTCACACGGTATTCTATCAAAGTCAATCAATCACAGATCACATTACTATATTTTGAATTTGGATATCTATATATTTTATAGTTACAAGCTCTTTAATTAATCTTATAAACAAATTACTAGCATTATAAATTTATTTTTAATAAATAATGACATATGAACTATGAAGTAATTTCTGGATTACCTCTATATTATGATGTAGGTCATGATATATATACATTTAGCAATGAAAATTTGTAAAGGACTTAGGCCAAGGTTTAACATTAAAGTACTCAATTGATTGTGCATCTACTTTCATTGTTATTTGAGCCAGTTTCTTGGGGACAAAGCAGCGACACTGCGACCATAAATTGAATTATTAGTGAATTTATATAGTGTTAATACATCAAGATAATATCATTCCTGGCTTATAGAATATTTAGATAAATTGATCACATACATGTAAATACAGAAAGCAGTCTCATACCTCTATTATTTGTTGTTTATTAATAAATGATTTCATTACCAAAAAAAAAAAAGCTATACTTAGATTTTTATAATAAACAAAGATAATTAGTGAATAATTTGCTCAACTTAATATTACTATTTATTCATATTCACATTTTTCTATTAAGTCAAAATACTCAAGGAATATCTATGCTTCTTTTTGTAAAATTCTATAAAAGATTTAAGAACCTAATAAAAAATATTCACTCATTATTAGTAAAGTTGGTAAACTCGTTAAGGACATGTTGATCAAATGAAAGATAACCAGGCATTATAATTTTACTACACAGGAAAAAATGCTACTTGACATGTGATTTGGACATGAAGCACGTGATATAAATTTTTTATGATCTCATGAGGCTTTTCTCATACTCTTTAATTTAACGACTTTAAAACAATCATACCATCCCTTTAATTTTTTCTTTTTTGCAAGTAATTCACGAATTCTTTATTTCTTGCATTTTATCATAGTAGCATTAAAAATTTCTCTACAAATATTGGTTTGTTTTTTCTGAAAAATTCGTTCAAAAAAAGGGAAGTAAAAAAATGAATACATACATTTTTTTTTTTTTAAAAAAAAAATAATTTTTGGCCGTTAAATTGGTATTAAACCTTGCAACGAATTAGAATTATCTTTAAGGTACTTTGTTGTTTTTAAAAAAGGAAAAGATGCTTTGTTTCGATTAAAATTCAGGTCGATTAAAAAGATTACAAAAATTCATTGTAAAATATTGTTCTTCAGTATTTAATTTGCCCCTTGTATCCTTTGTATAACCCAGTATATCATTTAGTCTGATTTATAGTAAAAACTTTACCTTAACAGTTAAAATTGATATACATTTCTAAAACCTTTTTTTATGAAACTAAATTACTATACCATATTAGGTAATGACAACAAAATAGGAAACAAAAAACGAAAATTTATAAAAAACTTTTTTATTGTTTCACTCGAGATGATAAATTTGAATTTGGATTATTGAATTTTTTTAATTTTTTTAAAATTAAGTTACTTATTCGATTAAAAATTACACATAGTCAGAAATTAACCGAACTAAAAGTATCATTTAGATTTCAGAGATTAGGGAATGTTATAATCGTACGATAGAAATTAGGGCTTCAATGGTACTACTATACTCCAATTTTTATGTGAAAGGAGATTTTCTTTCCGAATATGGCAAAATTTAATGTAGATATTGTTAACTATGGCCGTTCTCAAGCGCCTCCCTCAATGTGATTGGCCAGTGATTGAAGTGATGCTCAAATATCACGGTCAATTGAAATAAATTGGAATAAACATGGTGATCGACACTTGAACAATCTCTTTCACTCTCTTACTTTTTTTATCGAGTTTTATTACGCATCCAAAAAAGAGAACTAAAACAACTTTTAAAAATTTCGTTCCAACCACTCATTTCTCTCCTTTTAACAGCCTAACGAATAATTTATCCTTACAACAACATCAAAATTCCACTACACGACCTTTTGCTGAAAATGAAACAATAAATATATAGATCCTTTGACGCCAAATGAAGTAAGATATCCAGTATATATGGACCCTTTAAATGATACAACAAGATATCTGGTAAATATTTATTCTTTTATTATTATACAATATGAAATATAATAAACTTGAAATTCTTTTTATAGATAACCTTGCAACCTTCTCAACCTTCTCTTATTACTCATCATGTAACTCATAATCAAGAAAATCAATCACCTTTTAATTCTGTAGCCATAAATAATCAAAGTCCTATCCAATCAACTTCTACATTTATTAACTTCAATACACCTAAATCAACAAACAGATGGACAACATCAGAAACTCAAATGCTTATTGAAGAAGTAAGAATGCAATGGCAAGCATTGCAACAAGTCAAAGATCCAAGAGAAAAGGGCCGAATCTGGGATAAAATTATTACTAACATCCAAAAGTCAGATATGGCAAGTCCAGCTTTAAAAGAACGTACAAAGACATCAGTTTAACAGAAGTGGGATGCACTTCTCCAAAAATTCCGTGAAATAAAGGATAAAATTGAAAGCACTGGTGGCGAAGCTATCCAAAATGACTGGGAGTTTTTTAAGGACACGGATAGCTTTTTAAGAAAAGATCTGAGTATAGTTGCACCAATTACAAGTGACTCAATTTATGGGATTAAGCGTAAAGAACAAGAGAATGCTGAAGAACAAGTCAAAGAGGTCAGTGACGTTTTAATATTTATTTTTTATTTTTTTTTTAACATCTAATCAAATCATTATTCATATCATATAGAATGACTCTAGACAACAAAAAAAAGCATGTTCTAAGAAAAAAAAACAAATATAGAAGAGATTCGAACTCTTATTAAAGAACAGACTGATACTATTGCTGAAATTATGAAAGAACAATATATTCATGCTTCTGAAGTTCAACAAAAGCAGCACAATGAACAAATGGAACTATTTAAAATGTTTCTAACGAAATTTTAATTATGAGCAGTTAATAATATATATGCAAATAATTTTATTGTAATTAATGAAGCTTTGTAAGGTTTAATAATGATTAATTAATTATAAGATCTGTTAAATATTCTCTCTTCTGAGTACCCGCCATCTCCTCCATTTCTTCATTTTCTGCTTCATACTCATTATTACCATTTATATCATCATCCATTTCTCTATTAACATTTTCTGAAGATAATAAATCTCCCATATCAATACAAATATTATGTAAAATACAGCATGCATGTATTATTTTAACAATCCATTCTATATTTGTACAATAAATTTCTTTCAATAAATTCTCCATCGTTCCTTTAAATGTCCAAATGCCCACTCAATAACCATTTGCATTGAAGAAAGAACTTAGCATATAATAATTAGGAAATGCTTTCATTAAATATGTTCGGAGAGGATATGCTGCATCTGCAATAATGTAAGAACTACCTGGAACCCATTGTTCGGGATGCAACAAAATTTCATGATAAAGTGAAGAACGATAAAACACTTTGGCATCATGTACACTTCCTATGATAGTATATAATAATAAATTAATTATTAAAATAAATAAAAATAAAATAAATAAATAATAATAAATGTCTACTAGCCTGCTTCACCAGTATAACCCTTTAGTTTTAGGTCTTGGCTGACATTGCAATCTTATACTGGATGGAAAACAAACAGTTGATAAAATTATATTTGTTGTGGTAAGGACAGTTAAAAAATGATCGGATCTTTGCATTTGTATATTTTTATTTTTTGTAATAGCTTCTAATATAAAAAGTAATATAATTATTGATTTTTGTCAGTGCTGAAGATCCATAGTGTAAAATGGAAAGTGAAGGAAGTAAGGCGCATGAGCAACCTCTTTTTATATTCCATTATTTTCTATTTTTGGTAGCTTTATGAAAAAAAAAGATGGTTTATAGCTCCAGGTTTTTTTGACTTAAATGATCTTCACACTTTGCCTTTTTAGTCAATGATTAACCCATTGAGGAAGGCGCTTGAGAACGGCCTATATTATCGAATTTGTTGATGTTTATTTTTTATTAAGTTACGAGAATTAACGATAAGATCATTTTGATAGTAAGGCAGTCTACAAATCTCATTATAGGAACATTATAGGAAATGATTTCCTTTATAGAATTAGTAACCCAAAAATTAAATGAAATTCCTGCGTTGCTTGTATGACAAAAAACCCATTTTAATTTGATTTTCTGAATCCGCCTCAAATCCTAAAGCTATGTGATTGAAAACCAATGAATTTTTTTTTGCAATGGAAAAATCAATAATTCTTTTTCTCTCTCTTCTTTTCTTTCAGGATAATGGAAGAGAAGAATTACATAATTTTCTGCTGATTTTAATTAACAAAATGCTTAACAGATATTTTTGCAATTACGAAATCAAATTAAATAATTTTTTGGGGGTCTTTATGAAGTCAAATATAACTACATAATGTTTGATTTATTGGATGATTTTCCTAATAATTCATCCCAAATCCCAATCAAATGTAAATCTTCAATCCCTCTTTTCGCGTGCTAATAAATTTAAAAGAAATAGGCATATAACTCAACCACCTATCAAAAAAGTAGAAATTTCAAGCAAAGTTGAGATTATGATATAAATTACTATATTTGTCATTACCAATATACTACAGCACTAAGCTAATCTGCATCTAAAGATCAATAAAATTAACTGTAAAGGATAAATTCGCCCCATATACAACATAATGAAGTTTTTCCATGAATAATAATATATACTTTATTCTTCATTTATTTTATTCAATTATGATTTTCATTGGAATATCAACATTATACGCTGAAATCGGGATGTAAATTTTATTAGGTGTTCTTTAATATTTATTGCTTTGATTACTTTTATAGATATTATTCCAAACAACTTGTATATATGAATATTATGATCAACTAGTAATAAAAATTTTTTATAGCATAATTAAAAAACCATATTTTGTGCAAATATCTTTTACATATTAAATTGATTAGAAGGTGTTAAGATTATTAAGAAAATTTATTTAAAATTAGATTATGAGACAAAGATAACCTTCTGAATTGAATAGGCAAATGTAAAATCAATTGCTTTTTTGTCACTTAGACATGTTGGATATTTTCCATATGCATCTTTATTAGGAAATGTTAATATGATCTGTAAAAAAAACTCATAATAAATTCGTAAAAATAATTTACAGATACTGTAAACAAAAAAGTTCTAAAAAATACTTTACAATTTGACTATTAGCCAGTACTTAATATAAAGTTAAAATACTTATGTATAGTTATGTATAATGTTGTCTTAATAAAATAATTTTTTAAAAAGGTAAAGAATATTTTTGCAGATTGCAAATAATATTATTAAGAATAAAAGTTAACAATATAAATAAAATACAATCAGCCATTGTAATTAATATAAAAAATTTTACATTATTTATTTTGATTTTATACATTGGAAATGGGTTTATATACTTATATTATTATTTTGATAATTTATATTTAATAATTGGAAAGTTAAAAAAAAAGATTTATTTAAATTACAAACTAAGAAATTTGTAAAATATTTACTATTCTAGCTTTGGTGTTTAAATAATTCTAAAAAAAGAGAATACATATATGAATTAAATATAAAAAAAGGAATTATTTAAATTACAAACTAAGAATATTGTAAAATATTTTACTGATACTCTAGCCTTAGTGTTTAAATAAATATAACAATTTTGTTAAGTAAAAAACTATAAATTCTTATAAAAACACAAATAATTACTAGTTATTTTTTATCTGTTTTAATATCTAAATAATTAAATAAATAAAATTAATTTCACATAAATAATTTGCAAAATTAATTCTTTTTATATACTATTACATACCTAATGACTTCAAATTAAATATACAATCATCCAAATTTTTACTCATTTCATTCACTTTTACACTAGTTTGTGAATCTTCACTTTCAAGAATTTCATTCACTTTTCCACTAGTAGTTTGACTTGAATAATAAGCTTGTAAATCTCTACTTTCAAGAATTTCATTTAATTGTTTACTAGTAAAATCAAGAAAGCGACTTTTATAATATGCCTGTGGATGAGATTCAGTAGTAAGATTATAGCTTTGCCCAATTGGTGCATTTATAAATTCCATAATATTGTATTTTAATTCTTCATTAATATCTTCAACTTTCACTTTATTTGAAAGAAAAACCCACTCTTCAATAATACTTTAGAAGATGGTCTTTTTAATGGGTTTTCATCCCAACACTTTTTCATCAAATCTACATAACATTGTGGAGTATTTTCAATAATTTCAGGGCGTTCACCTTCACAAATACTTAAACTAAGTTGAAAATCATGTGCTCTATTATTAAATGGTGGTACCCCGGATGTAAATTCCCACATAATAATAGAAAAACTATATATATCACTAGCTGTAGTATAAGGATTGCCTCTTAAAACTTCTGGTGCCATAAATGGTATAACACCATAAATATCATATTTTTTCAAAAATGATTTTAAAGGTTTACATAATCCTAAATCACTAATATAAATTTTACTTTCATTATGGTTTAAAATATTTCCATCATGAAAATCACAATGAATAAGATCTTGTTTATGTATACAATTAAGCCCAGAAATAATTCCAAATAACATATATAATTTTTGATACCAATCACTTTTGACAATTCTTGTTAAGTTTCCTCTTAAATTACCTTTGTTTGCATAATCCATTACTACCATATATTTCAAAGTATCTGGATTTTTTGTAAATCCATAAAAATAAATAATATTATATGAATTTAAACAAGTTTTATGATATTCCCACTATAAAACATAATAATATATTAGTATAAATAAATTATAATTCAAAATAAAAAAATAAATAATATATTATCATACTTCATTTAAAAATTCATTTAAATTTTTACTTAAATTATTGTGACATTTAAGAATTACTTCATTATTATCATTATAAAACCAAATAGCTTTATATATAGTACCAAATCCTCCTTTATCAAGATACTTAACATTTTTAAATTTATCATAAGGAATCCATTTTAAATTTTTTTCCAAAATAAGGCCGTTCCAATTTAATCTTTAGTTTAACGTCCTCCCCCCCCCTCTATTTTTGAAAAATTCAAGGGTGATTTAAACATATATGTTTGATATGTTTAAATATGCTTAAACCACCCCCTCCTTTACTAAAATTTAATAGTACCGAGAATTCCCGATTTTACCAAAAATTTCCGAAATTTTTATTATGTTTAATTTTCATGTTTGTTTAAATTATCCCCTCCCCCCCCCTCAAAATTTTTGGCCAGAAAGGACGTTAAACTAATTATTAATTTGGAACGGCCTAAAATTATCCATAATTGTATTTCCGCTTTTTCCAAATCTATATATAAATTTAAATAANATTATTAATTTGGAACGGCCTAAAATTATCCATAATTGTATTTCCGCTTTTTCCAAATCTATATATAAATTTAAATAATTAAATTTATCATTGAAATTCATATTAAAAATTACACTGAAATGTAAGATCAAAATCAACAATTACTCTAAAATTTAAATAGAAATTTAATATAATATATGTCTTAGTTTTGTATAAATATATATAATAACAACCTATCTTTCATAACTTACCAACTAAAGTAACAGAAATTTTATATGAAAGAATTCAATTAACAAATAAATATTTATAAAATATATAACAATAGAAATAACAAATAATTTACAAGCTATATTAATAAATAATTTTTATAAATAAAAATTTAGTTAGTTTAAATATTATAACAATAAGTAACTAATGATAGAATTAAATAAATAAATTATAACTTACGATCTATTTAAATAAGTAATTTAGTTAGTTTAAATTATATGTAAATATTATAACAATAAGTAATAATAGAATTAAATAAATAACTTATAACTTACCAACTAAAGAAATTACAAAATAATTTTTAAATAAAGAATTTAGTTATTATAACAATAAATAATAATAGAATTAAATAAATAACTCACTCCCTATATTATTAAATAATTTTTTAAATAAAGAATTTAGTTAGTTTAGATTATATGTAAATAATATAACAATATTAGAATTAAATAAATAACTTACTCCCTATATTATTAAATAATTTTTTAGATAATGAATTTAGTTAGTTTAAATTATATGTTAATATTATACTAACAATAAGTAATAATAAGATGCTTACTCCCTATATTATTAAATAATTTTTAAATAAATAATTTAGTTAAATTATATGCAAATATTATAACAATAAGTAACAATAGAATTAAATAAATAACTTACACACTATATTATTAAATAAAGAATTTAGTTAGTTTAAATTATATATAAATATTATAACAATAAGTAATAATAGAATCAAATAAATAATTTATGACTTACAATCTATTTAAATAAAGAAGTTAGTTTAAATTGTATGTAAATATTATAACAATAATTAATAATAGAATTAAATAAATAACTTACTTCCTATTTAGTTTAAATTATATGTAAATATTATACCAATAAGTAATAATAGAAATAAATAAATAACTTATAACTTACCAACTAAAAGAAATTACAAAATAATTTAAATAAAGAATTTAGTTATTATAACAGAGAGTAGTAATAGATTAAATAAATAACTTATAACTTACTAACTAAAAGAAATTACAAAAATAAAGAATTTAGTTATTATAACAATAAGTAATAATAGAATTAAATAAATAACCTATAACTTACGATCTATTTAAATAAAGAATTTAGTTAGTAGTTTTAAACTATATGTAAATATTATAAGTTTATAACAATAAGTAATAATAGAATTGAATAAATAATAACTTACACTCTATATTATTAAATAATTTTTTAAGTAAAGAACTTAGTTTAAATTATGTAAATATTATAACAATAAGTAATAATAGAATTAAATAAATAACTCATAACTTACTAACTGAAAGAAATTACAAAATAATTTTTTTAAAGTTAGTTTAAATTATACGTAAATATTAGATAATAATAGAATTAAATATATAACTTACTCCCTATATTATTAAATAATTTTTTAAAATAAAGAATTTAGTTAATTTAAATTATATGTAAATATTATAACAATAAGTAAACATAGAATTAAATAAATAACTTACTCCCTAATTATTAAATAATATTTTAAATAAAGAATTTAGTTAGTTTGGTTTATATGTAAATATTATAACAATAAGTAATAATAGAATTAAATAAATAACTTATAACTTACTAACTAAAAGAAAAATTACAAAATAAAGAATTTAGTGAGTTTAAATAATAGAAATATAGATATCAATAACTTACACAGGACCCAGAAATATATATAAAAGGGTCAGGTTTGAGTTTGCGTATTTTGAAATTATGAAAATCTTTCCTTTTTAGATAATTTTTGATAATGCCAGTCAGAATTTTATTTCCTATTATAGTAACCGACTGACATTATCATAATTCCGGCCCTGAAAAAATGCGTACAGCAAACTTTTTTCATCACCTGACCCCTATATAGGGTCTACTTACACCCTAATATTATTAATTAATTATTAGTTAAATATAAATATAATATAAAGTATTTACTGCAAATTAAATATGTTGCTTACAATCTAGTTATTTAAATTATTAAATTAAGAATATAATTAGTTGAATATTAAACAAATAAATATGATATTGTAACTTACCATCTGTAATACAATTAATTAGTATTAAATGGTTAATTAAATAAAGAATTTGCTCAATTTAATTATTTAAATATTATGTAAAATAAATAAAGAATTAAAAATTTAAATAACTAATAACTTACTGGCTATAGTATTATTAATCACTAGAAATATAATAAAAATGATAAGTAATTCCATTATTATTCAATTATAAGATAACCTATTAACTTACAAGCTATATTTGTATTTTGTATATTATATAGTAAGGTATAATTATAAATAGTATTTAAATGTATTACAAATAAAAATTTAATATTTAGTATGTATAATATACCTTTAGATTCCTTGGTACTACTTTTTTCAAATTCTTCAAAGCCACTTTCTTTGAATTCCTTAGAACCGTTTCCTTCAAATTCAATATTACCAGAAACTAGTTTTATTATATAGTAAATTTGTTTAAAAATATTAGTTTATATTATATATGATTATTACCTTTATCATTACTAATAAGAGCCATTACTATATAATTATATTGAAATTCTTTCTGATTGGAAAAGATAATGTAAATAACTTTTTTTTTCTTTTTTTTATTAAACGCCTTTATTTATGCAAAATGCATTGTGTACAAAAGTGATCATAGTACAAGCATTGTATGTATAACAAACAAATTTTGCACATATGTCTGAAATGTATGTCAATCATCAAGCCTCATTGTTGCCACAGCAAAATCATGAAGAAAAATTTCTTAATACGTAATATATACTTCGAATAATTTTAAATGTCACTTTTTTTTTGTTAAAACCAACTAGGGCAATTTAGATACAGTTAGTGAGTTTTAAAGTATAAATATATTGATAAATTTATATTTATTTATTAAGTTGTAAGTTATAATAAATTGATTTTGCCTAATTACTATAATAAAGCAAATAATCATATGATTAAGCGATTATGTATGTTTAGAAGGTGGAAATGATATTTTAAAATATAGTAATCTTTCAATTTTATCAAAAAGATGTTTTTGGATTTGATCAAAGTAAAATGAAACTTCAAAAAAACATATGATTGTATTTTGAAATTTTTCTGTTGTCATTGTTAATATGAAATTGGAATTTGATATATAATAATGAAGGGTTTACTTTCTAAGTCTTCAATTTTGTTTTGTTTACTTAATGTTTGTTAGTTTATATTTTATTTTAGGATAATTATTATAGTTTTATTTCGTTTTTACTATTTATTTTTTCAGATTTGTTTTTTATGTAAGGTGGGTTTAAGGTGGGTTCATTGACAAAGATGTCTAAATATGTATGAAAAAGGACATGTGCTATACATAAATAATAGTATCATGTGCTAGGCATTTTCTACTTTTATTTTCCTTTCATGTACAAATTTTTAGATTATTGATGGTATACATAGTGTGTTCATCTTTTAGGTGAGCACTAAATATTTTTAATGTAAATTCAAATATAAAATACTTTATCACCTTGTTTAATTAGAAAGTTAAATTTCAGAGTCGATGATCAATTAGATTTATAGGTGACTTATTTTAATTTAAATCATCAATTAATTTGATGTAAATACCATATTATTAATATCATTTGTAGTTTCATACGCTTTAAAAGTAGTACATGTACGAAATTTAGTAGCAAAATAATTATGAAATATTAACTTTTCTTTTTTAAAAAAATTTATACTTCCGAATTTATTGTTCAACACTTTTATTTCGTAATATAAACAATTTCAAAAATTGGACAAGTGGTAATGATAATGATGATAAATTTATTAAAAATAATCAGCTATCGGCACATTTTACTGGCTATTACAGTATTACTACACCACATAGCTATCATCAGGAAATTTTATTACTAAAATCCACATGAAACTCTACGTCAAATATTGTAGAAATTTAAATAGTTTCAAACACCCTGTGACAAAACACACGATATATTCGGCATAGATCTACCTTATGATAGACTAAAACTATAAAATACTTTTTTATACATGATCATTTGATAGTTATTAATGATGTTACAAAAAGCCTTATTTTCATGCTGAGTTTTGTTCGTATTCGGATATTGTGTAACATGTAATAAAATCAAATGTTGTGCTTCATGAGAATTTACATTGTTGTTTTG